ATCATGACGAACCGCTTGGGGTTCGACAAGAGCACCACGTCAGTGAGCAAGACCCGCCCATCAACCATCCCGCGTGGCTCATTTGTCTTCTCGCGCTCTGTCGCGGTCCCCACCATGACCTCATGCCTCTTGTGGGACCGAAATCCAGTCTACTACCTTTGCACGGGCTCTGCCATGACGCCGACCACTATCGAGAGGAAGGTAAAGCGCGTGGGTGCGATTCAAGTGGGGTGCCCTCAGTCTGTAAGGGACTACCAGAACTGGATGAGCGGAGTTGATCGCCATGATCAGCTCCGTCTCCAGAGTTACTCCCTCCAAATGTCCACGCGGCTCACTAAGTACTACAAGGGGTTGTTTTTGGGGTTTCTGGACCTGGCCCTAGTAAATGCTTACCTGACCCACAAAGAGGCGGCCAAAATCAAGGGAGCAGTCGCTATGAAACGCTCCGAGTGGTTTGCGGTCCTTCAGAACCTGCTCCTGCAACTCAAAACCGAGGACTTTGCGGGTGTCCAAGCTACGCCACCTCGATCCAGTCAGAAACGTAGGCGAACACCAGTCCGCCTGACACACGGACTCCAGCAGTCAGAAGACTGGGTTCCCGTCAGTGGCGTTCAGAAGCGCCGCCAACGGTCGTGCAAGGTCTGTGCGCTTCTGCGAACCGAAAAGAAAAAATCTTTTGCGACGACTTACTACTGCGAGCGTTGTTCCATTGACGCCGCAAAATGCTGGTTGTGCAACAAGATCCGCCGCGAGTACAAGGGCGTCGCCAAGACCTGTTTCGAGATCTGGCACGACGACTTCGGGGCCGGGCAGGACATCCCGGCTAACCTGGGGAAGCGCGTCGTGCTGCGCCGGCCTGGCCAGAATGCAGGAAAGCGCAAGAAGACACGGCGGGAACTACAGCTTCCCCGCGAGGAGGGAAGCGATGGTAGCGACGCTGACAATGACAACGACGGTGAGTAAGCATGTAGGCTGCAATTCACCTGATGAGTTCGTGTGTTTGAATGCAAAGTTTGTTGAGCCAACGAACCTTTTTTTTTTTTACGTGTTTTCCGAAAGGAGCTGCAAAATAGTGAGCCCCCATCCATCTGTTGACTACAAGTGGTGCCTGTTACGACATTTACTGGCGAGTGCTCTATCACAATGCCGTATCACTTACGACATTGGCCAAAAACCCTGCTGACAATTTATACACCTATCCCGACATGAAAAACATGGCCTTTACAAAATGCAAGTGATTCTGTAAGCCGTAACTTAGGACATGTGCTTACGCGTCTGAGGCGAGTACCGTTCGGATACAAGGTGTTAACTTCTCATCGCACAGTAAGGCATATTTTCCACAACGAAACGTGGCCTTTATATCCGGAGGATGACGGCATACACCATAGTAGCTCCCATCGTGAAAGTGCGTTGCCAGTCTCACGTCGTTCCCAGTAAACTCTAGCTGGGAGGGCCCTTGGAGCATCTTGAAGTTGGCTATGCGCGTATCTGTGCCATCGATAGGGCACGAAGAAGTACCATCTCGAGGTAAGGCTTTGTATTCTACAAACACCACATAAGATTCAAAACACATTAGAGGAGCATTCTCGTGAGTGAGAGAGAGAAACAACGGAAAACAAGCCGTTTTAAATTCTGTCGGGTGTCCAAATCATTGAGACAGAAACTTGACCACTTCATGTACAACGTCGTTCCTGGAGCGACGCTGAGACGCCTTGGTGCGCTTCATCATACGTAGTCTTCCAGGGAATGCGTACGCTCCATGTAGATTTCATCAGTCGTTTACGAGTGACGCCAACGCCGCGTGCTCGGTTTGTGCGCTGGATTCTGCGTCTAAATGCGGCAGCGGTCTTCCTGTTACGTTTCTAGTACGAAACGAGCCTATTAGTAGGTATCTATGAGAAGCTGCAATGTGATACGATGGTTTATTTTGGTCCGGCGACGATGGCTGCTGTGCTGTTCCAAAAGCTTAGTTTGGCTTGTTGACTGCAAATACGTCTCAGAACTGCGACGTTCGAGGACGAGCCTACTGTGCCCTGAGTGAGGCAGGCGTTCTCTGCGCAACAGTCGCTGTACTCAATATATATCTACTAACGCCTCGGGCAACGACGCTGGCCATCGTTGAGAATCATACAGTTTATTGAAGCTTACAGAAAAAAACGCTCTTGAGTGTTTATTCTTAATACAAGGGGAGTGAAATCGTGCACCCATCTGGAGAACAGTAAATTTGAATGGCCTTTTCTAACCACAACACTTAACTCCATCCGCTAAGCTAATATAAGTCGCTGTAACTGCTGCCCTATATCGCTTGAATACTCAACACCCCTCGCTTGAATCGCTATCCTCTGAAACGCAATAACCCTATCCCCTAACCTATCGCAAATTCTGGAAGGCAAATGGAAGTCAGCCGCGATCGTCCAGAGCGCCGCAGCATGCTGCTGCGAGCGACAGAGCGACGACAGTAACGAGACGACTGACTGCGCGTCCGAGGCTCGCGCTCGGCATCGTCTCGAACTCCAGCCAGTGGACACGCTCAGTGACAGCAGCAGCCACGTGAATCTCCAGTCTGGTCTATCTGAAGACCGCACCCTCTCCAGCGCACGCAGTTAAACTCATGGGAGTCGTCCCTGCTATTTGACGAGTACAGCTCGCAACTACCAGTACATCAAGTGTGTGTTATAAAATGGGAGTATAAGTTGAGATGTAAAATTTTCGGGCCGACAAAACAGGTCAGGAGGCACAAAAATAAAAAGGG